CTAATAATTGCTTTTCGTTACCTATCATCTGGCGAGCCCATATAATGGGCATAAGACACCGGCTGACGCCATAGATAGCGCAATGTTTCAAGGTAAACTGGTTTCATGTTCGAGAAAGAAGTAGATGACGTTGGCACGGACGGCACTGTTTTTTCTAGCGTCTATGCAAGAAAGAAGTTGTTTCCTACTTTACAATCGGTAAGGTTTCCATGTTCTCTACCATTTTTACGAACAAGAAACTGCAGTATCGATGCTGTGAAAAGGAGGAACGGGTATTTTCATATAATAGTGAGTGGAGACTCTTGCGATTGAGTACCCGATTTCAGGGCTTCACTCGCTCTTGTGTCACACTCAACCTGAGCCAAAGTCACCTGGCTGGCTTGCAGATAGTGCAGGACCAGTTGCATCAGTTGATGACATTGAACAAAAAAAATATATGCACGAGCATATTGTTGCGAATGTGTTTTCTACTTTAGAGTCGAAAAATAGACCAACAGTCAAGATGGCAGCCGTTGTGTATTCTTCGAATACCAAACACGTTGTAATCATTTTCTTCGCACCACCCTGCATAGAAATAGCCGCAGCTAGACGCGACCCCGCAAGATCGACCCTCGGCGGCAAAAGCACCAACCCGGCGTTTGTTAGCAAGTGGTGGCCAAGAGGTACGGCTTCAGGCGAGCGACGTGGACCATGTCGGAAGACGAGGAGGGCATCGAAGGGTTTAGAGGGGCTATATCATAGGTAACATCAGTTACCTGCCGTAGCACATGGTAAGATCCGCAATAATTAAGTAGAAGCTTTTAGGCCAGGCAAACATATTGCGACGGAGTCCAAAGAAGAACGATGTCACCCGGATTAAAGCGGGCATTGTGGTGGTGGCTGTCATAGCTATTTTTCTGGCGGAGCTGTGAGTCCGAAAGGCGTCGATGAGCAGTCGGACGGGCCTTTTCGGCTCAGCGCGGCGATCTTATGCTGCGTACGGGTCAGCAGGATTGAGTACAAATGAATCGATGGCAATCTCAGGTCTCTTCCATATAAAAGGTAAAAAACATATCCAGCAGTGTCGCGGCGTGAGCTATTGTAAGCGAAAGTGACAAAGGGTAGCGCAATGTCCCAGTCGCGATGATCAGTGGACACGTATATGGCGAGCATGTCAGTAAGCGTATGATTCAAACGTTCTGTGAGGCCGTTCGTTCGAGCATGATAGGCCGTCGTGAGCTTGTACTTGGTTGCACAAGAGCGAAGTAGGTCGTCGATTACCTTAGATAAAAAGTAGCGACCGCAATCAGTGAACAGTTGACGAGGAGCGCCGTGATGTAAGATGTCGTCTTGGATCAAAAAGTCAGCGACGTATGTAGCACAGCTGCGCGGAAGAGGTCTCGTAATGGCAAAACGGGTCGAATAATCTGTAGCGACGGCGACCCACCTGTTAACGTTAGTAGAAAGAGGAAAAGGGCCCAACAGGTCAAGGAAAACGCAATAGAAAGGCTTGGCAGCTATGTCGATCGGTTGAAGGAGCCCGGCGAGTTGTACAGCTGGTCTCTTGCGGCGTTGGCACGACTCGCAAGAAGCAATATAGCGTTGTGCGGAACGGTAGAGGCTGGGCCAGAAAAAGCAGCGACGAACATGCTTGTATGTTCTAGCAACGCCAAGGTGGCCAGCCGTTGGTACATCATTGTATAGCTGCTGAAGTACGATCGAGCGCAGATGAGTGGGTACTACGAGTAGTAGTTCCTGTCCCACGGGGCTCATGAAAACTCTCTAAACTATAAACTACTCTAAAGTAGTAAATACATTCGCAACAATATATATAGTTGCATACTTCGCCATCTGTGCTGCATCGTGCTCGAACGTTGATCAGGTCGACGATGATAAACTCTATACGTTTGAGCCCTAGTGCTTCCGCTGTTAGCATTTTCAGATTTTTTCGTGTTTTGAAGGCCGACCTACGTGTGCCCAAAACTCGCACTTTGGGAAGTGGCCTCAAGCACGTGGTTTGTACATGTCACTCCAAAGTGCATGTCATATGTCGGCCTACCTTCCAATCGCGACGCACGTTTTACCTGTGTTGTCCATGCAGAGTTAGTTGCGAGGTGATTGATTTATATGTGGGGTGGAAAGTCCCTAAACCACTATTAGTTATGAGAGACGCAATAGTGGAGGACTCCGGTAATTTTAACAATCTGGGGTTCTTTAGCGTGCACCCAAATCTGAGCACACGGGTGTACAGCATTTTCACCTCAATCGAAAATCCAGCCACCGCCGCCGGCATTCGACCGCGCGACCTGCGGGTCAGTAGCCGAGTACCTTATTAGTTGCGAGGTGATCTTTAAGTTGACCAGCTTGGTTAGAATTAAGTGGCGTTCAGTTACTTTGACGCAAGGAAACACACGGTAGATTGAGTACATTGCACACCGAATTCGTGTCATCAGAGTATAACGCACAAGACAACTTTGGTAATTAAAGCACGCAGTTTTACGAAAGAGATACGAATCATATGTCGTTGGCTCGTTTGTCCATCACTCCTGTATGAAACAGCACTAATAAAGGCCTCGTCTCTAACCAATATAGTTCTGTATTGTTTTTTGAAATAACTTGACTCTGTCTTGACCATTCCTGCTGGATCGCTGACAGGTTGTGTGATCTATAGCAGTGAGGAAGTAAAATATTCGTCCTCTCTTGCTCTTCGTGTTTTTTGAGAATAGTGAGTGCAATTATGCCAATATTGTCTGTGTTTGCTAAGTCAAAGTTTAGTCTTGCACTGATTGTCTGCATCGAAGAAAGTTTTACGACATTGCGAAAGCACATTGAATAGCAATGCCGGCTCGTTGAAAGCAGCTTATGGAGACTTCATGCACAAAAAATGCACCACCCTGAACTTTCGGCGGCGCTTAACCAACAACCTATAGCTGGGTATCCACAAACAAAAAGGTAAGGCTAGTATAGAGTGACCTCCTTTAAAAAAAAGGTAGAGAAGCGCAGAACAAAATAGATTGAAAGTAAGAACTTACAAACCTGCACAAAAATATTGAAGCCAAACAACAGTAATATTGGGGCATTCAAAGTGTGGATATGTGTTGAAGGAATAGACAAGACTACTGTTAACGGCGGATAGCATTACTGAAAGTAAACCTGAATAGCTAGATTTTATCTAAAAGTGACAAAACTAAATGCAATAAATTGAATGCGAGTGATAAAAAACAGAAAGGGCCATAGAGATTATTTACAAATACGAAAATACAAAAAATGCCAGGCCTCTGTGATTTTTAATTTTCACAGCAAAAGCTGGTAGAGCAGCCTCTCAAAACCTTTTTTAAACGCTCTTTGGGTCAACTAAAGACGCGAACATGCTGGGTACCCCCAACGGTATAAATAATCATAACTTCTGTGTAGTGTAGGCCAGCATTCAGTGTGCAATTCTTCATGATTCTTCTCACAAGCGTGGTATCCGCTAAACACTTGCAAGGCAGTTTGTGCGAATTTTGTCTTTCTGGCTGTGCCTGACGACGGTAAAGAATTACACCTGAAGCAGATATGCTATAGTTATATATTATATGATGAACAAGTTTTTGTAATGGGTTGGAGCAGTAGACGACCCACTTGTTATGCCATTCGCATTGGGTGACGCCTGGTTGTTCCTTTACTGTTCTAACACGCTTTATTAATTATATGAATGCGGTTTTTCCCGACATTGAGCCAGCCTAAGGCAGGTTTGCAAACGACTCCCAAGCACCTGCGTGGCTCAGTGGTAGAATACTGGGCTGGCACGCAGTTGACCCGGGTTCGAGTCCCACTGTGCCCTTGGTGTTTCTTATAAGAGTTTTTTTTTATTTCGTGCGATAGTCGTTACCGACACTGGCGGCGGCGGTGGACAACTTTGGCGCCACGCATGACCTGTGTTTTTATCATAACAGCCTTCGCTGTAGAAAAGAAAAAAAGGGAAACTTTGTATGATAGGTCAGACAGCAGCGTGCCTGCTTCATGAGTGACTTTTGTGTCGTAAGCTTACACTGCACCGTAATAGATTAAGGCTCTCGTGTGGTAAGTCGGGACTGACATGAACGCCATACAAAAAAGCATACCAGAACAACACAAGAGGAGCCTCTGTCAGCTGAACGTAAGTCCTTAAAGTGCTGCGCACACCATGGCGGAATTCCGGGATATTCACTTAACAATATTGGTTACCTACTAATATTACCTACTTCAATAACTGCATAGCTATGACATGCATGTATTTTATTAATGTTACGTTGTGATTTCTGCGTGAATTTCCGCGTGCATTGCTAGGACCATTTCCTAGCATGTATTTAACTTGTAGGCAATAGCGATAATCACCGTTATGCCATTTCGTGCACTATACAATATGTACGTGCTAGGGAAACAGTTGTACGCAAACAGAATACGATTGCAGTCGTTTTTTGTATTTGAAATATTAGGCTATTCATAACAACCGAAGCGTGATGGGACAAAAACTGCGCGCCACAGTGTGCTTAATCGCATAATACCAGCATTCAGTGACCTTGGGAGAGACTTTAGCTAAGAGTTGCCTTGTACTCGCTCATCCTAGATCATTTTTACTTCTAGCTCCTTGCCGAGCTCCTTGACCGAAGCTCATTTTTAGCTCTGTCTAATGCTAGCTAACTGTCCCCTGCCATGGCGCAACCTTAGTTAAACAATAGTATGCAAGTGTTACCCAAGAATACATTGGCATCGTTTTGCTTCAGATAGAATGTCTCAAATACTTCACACACAAGGACGTTTCGCCTTGGTGAAATTCGCCTCTTGGTTGTTGTACAGGTCTGGCTGTGTAGCACCACCGGCAGGTGTCAACGGAGAGACGAGGAATAAATATGGTCACACGTTGTGTTCCGCTTTTTTTCTTGCGCACTACTTAGCGCAGCCCAAAAAATGATAAGCTGTCCAAGGAAATGCTGATACGTCGTGCACACATACAGCGGCGTTTTTTTTCACTAAATGCAGTCTTTTGCCCGCCCGGACAAATGGCCAGCGAGAACAATGATGCCATTGGGGCCGAATCTGAAAACAGTGCTGGCCCAGACAGTGCGCACCGAATGTGCCGGATTTGCTTCCGCGGTGTGAACGAGGAACGCGGCCAGCTCGTGGCTCCGTGCTCCTGCAAAGGCTCCATCGGCCTCACTCACAAATCCTGCCTGGAACGCTGGCTACGACAGCGCCACACGGACCACTGCGACGTCTGCCTTGCACGGTTTAACATCCGCAAGACGCCTGCCGTGAGTGGAGCTACTCGATGGCTTCCTCGAACTACGCTGATTGCGTTTAGTCTCTTGTTTATGCCTAAGTCAAAAAGCAGGTCCACCATAGTGGATCAGTCGTTACAGTGCTCGGCTGCGGACCCGAAGGTCACGGCTTCGATGCAGGCTGGGAAGGTCACATTTCGGGGACGGCAAAATGGTAGGGACCCGCGTACTGCACCATGCCTGTGCACTTTAAGCAAGGACACCAGATGGTTCAATCTTAGATGTAAAAACAGCATTAAATATACATTAGGACGGAAAAAGAGATGACAAGGCGACGAACTTGCAAGTGAAATTCATCAGAAAGAACACACTCATATATCAGGCAGAGCACATAGTGATGAAAAAAGTGTAAATTAAAGGCTACAAAAAGAAGATACTCTTTTTGGGGACCTTCGACGCAATAATTTTGGTCTGCCTGCCTGCCTGCCTGCCTGCCTGCCTGCCTGCCTGCCTGCCTGCCTGCCTGCCTGTCTGTCTGTCTGTCTGTCTGTCTGTCTGTCTGTCTGTCTGTCTGTCTGTACAGTTCTCTGTTTGTCCGCCCTCAATGGTAACCAAAAAGGTCGCAAACGATACCCCAAACAGCCGACGCCATCCGCAGCACCGACCAATATTGCCAAAGATTCAGGGTTCGCACTTGTGCGATTGTCGAATAAAAACCAATTATTGCACATATCTGAGGCACCATAACAACACTTCAATATTCTGTATGTGTGTCTTTTACTAAAAAAGGCATACAAAGGTGATTGCGTTTATCACGCTGTGCTGTCCATGCAATGCTCGCACGAAAATGCAAGAGTTTCTAGCACTTTGCTAAGACGACACGGTGGTGGCACCTACCGGTCGCTTTGCGTTCTACACCTTATCACCTCCTAGACAGGCGCGCGCAGCGCACTTCGTTTCCCACGATACCTGCCAGATAGCGCTCATATATCACGCGTGACGTGACTTGATGCGCTCATTCGCCTCCGCTGCAAGCTCGAGGCACTCTAACACAGTGCCTCCAGAGTAACATTCACCAAATTTCTTGCGCAGAACATCAAATAAACTTTTTGTTCACTATAGTCTTTCGACAAAATTTGCAGTGTAACATGCCGATATGAGGCCAATTTTTTCGACGCAAGATTAGTGACAACTAAGAGACAATGATGCCAGGGAAAGTATAGGTAACGTTATTAGAAGTTTTGTAATGGAAGTGTGAAGAAAAGTGGATGACAATTGAACTTGCCACCAGCAGGATCCCAACCTGCGACCTTAGAAGAGTGCGTTCGATGCTTCACCCTTGAGCTACGGTGGCGGTTATCTCTCCGTCCACTTTATAGGGTACATATGTGCATTTAAACTTGGATGGATGGATGGATGGATATGGCTGTACCCTTTAGATCGGGCGGTGGCTAGCGCCACCAAGCCGTAATACCTAATGAACCAAAAACTATATTTGTTTTCTTAAAAGTGAGTTTGAGGATTCGTACTTTGCAGTGAAGAGTTAAATTTTCACTTGTGCCTTGACTGTAGCCACCAATCAGATAACCTCCTTCTAGTTAAGTCTACCCGCCCAAAGTTTATTTTGCCCTCCCAGTCCCTAAACCCCAGTGCTTTGAAAAACTCTGCGCCATCATCCTGAACTATAGGGTGAAGCCCCTTACAGAACATTATCAAGTGTTCGGCAGTCTCTCCCTCCTCTCCACACGCACTGCATACTGTGTCTACCCCTTCGTATTTGGCCCGATATGTTTTGGTTCGCAGTACTCCCGTCCTGGCCTCAAACAGTAGAGAACTACCCCGAGTATTATCATAGATCCTTTCCTTGGCAATTTGCTGCCTAAAAGTTCGATAGATCTCAAGTGCGAACTTCTTAATCATGCCCATTTTCCACATGTCGGTCTCCGTTTCCTTCACTTTTTTCTTAACCGATAGTTCTTTTTGGTTTGGCTACCTGCTGTTTTCTAAGTATTTACCAGTCAGCTTCCTGGTTCGCTTTCTCCATTTTGTATCGACATTCTTCATGTACAAGTAGCTGAAAACCTTCCTAGCCCAACGCTCTTCCCCCATTTCCCTCAATCGCTTCTCAAATTTTATCTTGCTGCTAGCTTCCCTGCCCTCAAATGATGTCCATCCCATATCACCTTGTACTCCCTGAGATGGTGTATTCCCGTGAGCTCCTAAAGCAAGCCTACCTATTCCACGTTGCTTAATTTCTAATCTTGCTTGAACTTCTGATCTCATGCACAAGACCGCATTGCCGAACGTCAGCCCCGGAACCATGACCCCTTTCCATATTCCTCTCACAACATCATACCTATTGTAATTCCACAGTGCCCTATTTTTCATGACTGCTGCATTCCTGTTACCTTTAGTCGTCACGTACATTTTGTGTTCCCTCAGATACTGGGTCCCATTGCTTATCCATACGCCCAGATATTTGTATTTATCTGTTTTCTCTAGCGAGCGCGACCTTCTGTATTCTAAGCTCACTACCTTCGTTGTCATTGAAAATCATGACTGCTGATTTTTCCTTACTGAATCTAAAATCTAACCTATCTCCCTCATTACCGCAGATGTCCATCAATCTCTGCAAATCTTCCTTGTTGTTGGCCAATAGCACTATATCATCTGCGTACATTAATGCTGGTAGTGCCTGATCAATAACTTTTATTTGTTTGACTAAAGAGAGGTTGAAGCCCAGTCCACTCCCCTCTAATTTTGCCTCTAATCCTTGTAGGTACATCATGAATAATAAGGGTGACAGGGGGCACCCCTGCCTAAGCCCCCGTTTTACCTCTGCAGGCTTGGATACCTGTTTTTCCCACTTTATAACTACGTTGTTACCTTTATAGATACCCTTTAAAAGATTAGTGACTACATATTTCACGCCTAGTGTGTCCAGTATTCCCCACAATTCCTCTTGAACCACGCTATCGTACGCTCCCTTGATATCCAAAAATGCTAGCCACAGGGGCCTGTGTTCCTTTTCTGCTATTTCGATGCACTGCGTCAGTGAGAACAGATTGTCTTCCAACCTACTGTGTTTCCGAAACCCATTCTGCAGTTCGCCCAGCACCCCCTCATCCTCTATCCACGCCTGCAGTCTTTCCTTTATAATCTGCATCGCCAGCCTGTAGACCACTGATGTCACTGTTATAGGATGGTAGTTGTTTATGTCAGCTTTGTCCCCCTTTCCTTTATAGATCATGCTCATCCTGCTAAGTTTCCATCCATCGGGAACTTCACCATCGATTATTATTGTGCTCACTGCCTCTCTCAAAGCCTGCTTAGACTTCGGACCTAATGTCTTTATCAGCCTAATTGGAATGCCATCTGGGCCTGTTGATGTACTACTAGGAACCCTTTTCTCAGCCCTTTCCCACTCTTGTTGTGAAAATGGAGCCATTGCACCACCTGATTCGTCCTTGTCTATTGTGGTGCATAAAGTACTTCTTTGTTGAAATGTTTCTGTCACCCTTGTTCTTATATATTCAATAGCTTCGTCCCCTTCTAGCCTAGTACCTTGGGTTGTAGTTATGAAACTCTGCTCTAGGCTCGTCTCATTTCTTAGGGAGTGTAGATGGTTCCAAAATTTCGCAGCTGCCTTTCTATCTTTTTTATGTACTTCTGCCAGCCACTGAGCTCCCTTCCTTCTAATCTTTTCATTGATCAGAAGGGATGCATCCCTTCTACAGCTTAGAAAGGTTGCCCATTTTCTTTCAACATCATCTGTCGGTTCACCCCACTGCTTAGCATGTCTGTGTTCCCTAGAGGCTTCCCGACGTTTTGCTATGGCTCTTTTAACTTCCTCATGCCACCAACTTTTGGGTTTGTGTCTTCTTTTCCTGGGTGACTTGTCATGTGTCTTAGCAAGCTCTAGCTCAAAGAGTCTAAATAGATTCGTGTATGTCCACACTGTCTTATTATCCTCCGTGATTACTTTCTCAATTTGTTTAGTGGCTATTTCAACTTGCCTTGCTGGATAAAAATTTTCCTGTAGTTGTTCATCTTGTCTCCTTCCCACTTTCACTGCTCTTCCAAAACTTAGCTTGATACGTTTGTGATCGCTACCCAGACTTCTGGAGCCACCTTAATCTATGTGCATTTCCCTGAGCTTATCATACATCTTATGTGACATCAGTGCATAATCTATCGTCGACTGAAGCCTTCCTACCTCCCATGGTATTTGCCCTTCACACTTCTCGGTACTGTTGCAAATGATCAAATCAAGCCTTTCACACATATCCATGATCATTTTGCCTGTCGGGTCTGTATACCCATCTATATCTTCTATGTGCGCATTCATGTCTCCTAGTATAATTATCTCGCACTCTCTTCCTAACTCCTGAATGCCCTTTGATATACACTCTACCATTGCCTGGTTTTCTTCTCTGGCCTTTGCTCCCGTCCACAAGTACACGAAACCAAGGAGTGTCATTTGACCTGCCACTTTCCCTTTTAGTCATAAATGTTCCTTGCACTCCTGCTTGACCCTTTGCCAGTCTGTACTTTTATGAATGAATGCCCCAATACCACCCCCCCTTTCTGCTGCCTTCTGTTCTATTACAATATTCCCACGCGTAGTCCAGATTGTTCGGAGGTTGTTCCATGTTCCTGAGATGTGTTTCTACAAAACCGTATACCATTGGCCTCTCTTCCCTTAGCTGTTGTTCTATCTCTTCCCACTTCAGCCTGTTCCTACCACCCTGCATGTTAATATACCCTATGTCTGAATTCGCTCGGCGCTCGTGGCTACGTCTATTTATGCCCCGGACTCTACCTATCTTAGATATTGGTGCCATATTGGAATCGTATCTGTCCATACCACCTGTCGAAGAGTCTCCCTGGTTGTTTTCCTCGTTACTAGCTATCCTGCACCCCGAAGGGCTCGCTTGCCCCCCAAAAAAGCTACTGCGCGTCCTGCAAGTCGCCAACCCACCTCATGACCTAGCCGCCCATCGAAGTGAATTCTGTCTCGTTGAAAACCCCTC